GGGAGGTCTTGTCCCCAGACTAGAACCAGGGTGCTGGGAACCGGGGAATGCAGAGACTGTGTTGCCTCCACAATGCAGCTGTTTTCTTGTTCCTGGTCCCAGAGTGGAGACTGTGTTGGGAGTTGAGAATTAAAGTTCCAACCTTTTCCCTCCTTCTGGACTCCCCTCCCCTGCGTCATCCAGTGACAAGAGGAATCAAAATTTTAGAACTAGAAGTTGCTAACTGGGAGCTGGCCAGATAAGATTCTGCCTGTGTGGAGGAGACACATTCACTTAGATGAGAGATGGGGATGAGAGATGTTCATTATATAAATGAACATATTGCAAATGGAGCCTATGTTTAAAGGATATAAAGGGAAAAAGTAACCATGTCTGTTTGAGATTGGCTAGGAATACTTTCTTATAATTGTTGAGATGCAGCAGGACTTTGCAAGATGGGGACATCATAGAGAAGACCATTTAGTTCCATTCATGATGGGAGGGGTGGTGGTATAAATGGATGGGTGTGTTCAGAGAATCAGACAGGGAGGCTAGGCAGAGCAGAGTTGGAGGCAGGAAGTCCAGTGTATTGAGAAAGTGTGTATACAGTGGCCGAGTGGTGTTCATGTTTATTGTATGGTATTCATTCATGAACACAATAGTGTTCATCTTCTTGGACTTATACATTTATCTTCATATATGATGTATATTCTTCATAAAAGATTTAACATCAACCTGAAACAAATAGAGTCATGTTGTGGAACTGAGGAGCAGGAAGAGAGTCTTTCATCAACCTGGAAATGTCTTTAATCTTTTTGAGATGAGAAGCAGTGTTACCTTTTTCTTTGCTCTCTAGATTTTACAGGAATAAGAGCTCAGAGCTAAATGTTGCGGAATCACTCTAGTGCCACTGAATTTTACCTCCTTGGCTTCCCTGGCTCTGAAGAACTACACCATATCCTTTTTGCTATATTCTTCTTCTTCTACTTAGTGACATTAATGGGAAACACAGTCATCATCATGATTGTCTGTGTTGATAAACATCTGCAGTCCCCCATGTATTTCTTCCTTGGCCACCTCTCTGTCCTGGAGATCCTGGTCACCACCATAATTGTCCCTGTGATGCTTTGGGGATTGCTGCTCCCCGGGATGCAGACGATGTCTCTGACTGCATGCGCTGCCCAGCTCTTCCTGTACCTTGCTGTGGGGACCACAGAGTTTGCATTACTTGGAGCGATGGCTGTGGACCGTTATGTGGCTGTTTGTAACCCTTTGAGGTACAACATCATTATGAACAGCCGCACCTGCAACTTTGTGGTAATTGTGTCATGGGTGTTTGGGTTTCTTTTTCAAATCTGGCCGGTCTATGCCACGTTTCAGCTTACATTCTGCAAATCAAATGTGGTGAACAATTTCTTCTGTGACCGAGGGCAATTGCTCAAACTCTCCTGCAATAATACCCTTTTCACAGAGTTTATCCTCTTCTTAATGGCTGTTTTTGTTCTTTTTGGTTCTTTGATTCCTACAATTGTCTCCTACACCTACATCATCTCCACCATCCTCAAGATCCCCTCAGCCTCTGGCCGAAGGAAAGCCTTCTCCACCTGTGCCTCCCACTTTACCTGTGTTGTGATCGGCTATGGCAGCTGCTTGTTCCTCTATGTGAAACCCAAGCAAACACAGGCAGCTGATTACAACAGGGTAGTTTCCTTGATGGTTTCAGTAGTGACTCCCTTCCTTAACCCCTTCATCTTCACCCTCCGGAATGACAAAGTCTTAGAGGCCCTTCGGGATGGGGTGAAACGCTGCAGTCAACTATTCAGGAATTAGCCTTGCCCTAAGGCATTTTACATGGCAAAGCACTTATTATGAATTCTAGAATAACCGGGAAAGGACTTACACATTTTTGAGCTGCATTATAATCATTATCATTATCAAATAATCTGTGTACAATATAAGACTTTTAAATTATGGCTACAGGTTTTAATGTGGTTAGTTGTTAGTTGAAATTTAATTTATTATATCTAAGACATACCTCTCTTTATATATATATATATATTAGGTTATTAAGTATGGAATGCCTGATTTCCTTAAGTACTAAGTTTGACAGTTGATATCTCTGACATTTCACTTTGATACTTCTTCTTTTCTGTATTGTGAAGGTACATCCTTATTCTTTCAAACACACATTTTGGCTTGTGATTATCTTTCAGTTTTTTCAGAGCAATTTTTGTGAAACCATGGATAAGTCAGAAATTCATGTTATTTTTGAATGTGAGTTCCGTCAAGGAACCAATGCAGTGCAGACAACTTAAAATATCAACAAAGTGTTTGGGAAGGATGTGGCTAATGAATGCATAGTATGTCGATGGTTTGAGAAGGTCCGTTCTGGTGATTTTAATCTTGAAAATGAGCCATGTGGGTGACCTGAGTCCAAGCTGGATTATGATGAGCTGAAAGCTGTAGTGGAAGCAAATCCATCTCAACCTATGTGTGAATTAGCAGCAAGGTTTGACGTTACTATTCCAACAATATTGGACCATTTGAAACAAATTGGCAAGGTATAGAAGCTGGATAGATGGTTACTGCATGAATTAAACAAGAGTCAGAAGATAAATCATCTGGAAGCTTGCCTTTTTTGCCATCACGACATTAAGTTGAACCATTTCTACACCGTATTGTTAAATGTGATGAAAAACGGATTCTTTTTCATAATCACAATGTGTTTGGCACAATGGTTGGTTAAAGATGAAGTGCCAAAACACAGTCCAAAACTGAATATTCATCAAAAGAAGTTAATGGTGTCTGTTTGGTTGTCTGGTGCTATTATTATTCATTAAACCTTCATGATACCTGGTCAATCAATTACAGCAGATGTCTACTGCAACCAGTTGGACAAAATGATGAGTATGCTTGTGATTATGCAGCCAAGATTGGTCAATAGAGACAGACCAATCTTCTTGCAAGACAATGTTCTACCACATGTTGCACAAACAATGCTGCTCAAGCTACAGAAACTGGATTTGGAAACTCTCTGTCATCTGCCATGTCACCAGACCTTGCACCAACTAACTACCACTTCTTCCAGTCTTTGGACTACTTCTTGCAAGAAAAAATATTCAATTTTCAACAAGCTGTGGAAAGCGCCTTTCACGATTTCATTGCCACTCGCTCTCCAGGCTTCTTCACTACTGGCATAAGCAAGCTACCATTAAGATTTCAAAGGTGTGTCAATAGTTTAGGCACAGGCTTTGATTGGTTGTACTGCTTCTTGTTTGAGATATAATAAACTAAACTTTTGATTCAAAGTCGGACATTTCATATTTAATGACCTATATACGCCTTTCTCAAGTTATGATAATTTCACAACAAAACTTTTAAAACTTTTAAAACATAAATGTTAGATAGTATTGATAGACTATTTATAAAGATAGTTTATAGAGTAGAGTAGTGGTTGCTTAGGGCTGAGTGGCATATAAGGATAGGACAATGATAGCTAAGGGGTGCAAGCTTTCTTTTTGAGGTGATGGTTGCAGATATCTGTGAATATACCAAAAACTATTGAATTGCACATTTTGAATGATTTAGTTTTATGGTTTATGAATTATATTTATATAAAGCTGTTAAAATAGTATGTTAGATGGTGGAGAAGTGCTATAAATAAAAGCAAAATAGTAATGAAAGGGAATATCTATTGAGTGAGTGTTGACATTTTAAATAAAGTTTTCAGGGAAAGCTTGAGAGAGATGGAGTAGTGAGACATTTGGGAATCTGTTAAAAAACATTCCAAGTATAGTGACCAATAAGTGGGAGATCCTAGGGGAGGCATAGCAGAGATGCTGGGGTGGAGAACACAAAGGAAAAAGTAGGAGCAAATGGGATCAGAGAGAGGTAATTGGGATGTAGACCATGTAGAACATTGTCAGGGCTGGATGGGAGTTGACTGACCTAGGCTTATCCCACATTTGGAGCCATGGAAAATGTGGCTTTGACCTCCATGTGGCGTGGCCACAAAATTTTGGAGGCACCTTTCTCTGACTTTGGCAGATTCTTATTTGTGTATTATAAATGAGTAAACAAGTTCTGAGAAATTAAGTGACTTGCCTACATTCAGATTCTAATAATAGCAAATCAGAAAGCTACTTCTTGGATGAAGATTGCAACATCAAATCCCCCACAAAGTGCCTTTCCTAATTTTACTGCCATTGAGCTAAATAGGGGCAGTCTTATTTAATATGTACAAGTATTTTGTGAGATGGATTATTACTATCCTATTTTATAGATAAGCCGCAGGAAGGGTAAGAAATCTGTACAGATTCACACAATATATATACTCAAAGCAAAGTCAAAACTTAAACTCAATAGTTTGCTAAATTTCCATTGCTTTTTAAAAATCCCATACCACTGATATCTAATGAATGACACATTTATCTACCCTTCTAAGGATCCAGCACCCTCTCCTCAGTAATGGACTTAAACCAAAGTCCACATAGTTCCTAATACTCCCCACCCTTACACCAGTCCACTGGGCTGCTTTTAGAATGTGCACAGAATTACCTTCTCGTCTTGGGGGAAATTTGAGCTGTCTACTAGGGAAATTAATAGATTTCTAAATTTCCTGACCTTAAAAGCTGGCAACTATTCTGTCATAAAATAGGAATTGAGGCAACTACAGTTTCTTCTTCTCAAAACAGAAGATTATGATTTTTTTTCTACTGTCTGAGTTCTGGGTTTTAACTTTGGTTAGAGTTCTGTTGATTCTTTTCTCCACCATGGACTCAGCTTTTCTTCCCTGCTCAACTGTGGCACTTGTTCTTTGCTAACACCATCAGAGAACTTGTATCTCCACAAGGTACTAATATAATTCCAATTGCCACCCCACCCCAAACAGAAATTATTTCTGGTAACCTCCTTCAAGTAAGTTCTAACATCTAATGTATTATCTCATTTTTAAAGATTGTAAGTGGCCATGCAAAAGAACCAAAAATTATGAAACCTAGGAATTTAGAAACAGAAGTTAGTGTTGTAATAAAAATAAAATTTATAACAATTTAGTTTGATAGACATATGTTATATACAATCATTACTGTGGTATGTTTCTATTAGACAAAAAGGGTAAGCACTTAGGTGAATATAATTTCCATTAGTTTTACATGGTCTTCTCTTATGGTTTAATTATTGTTACTCAAAACATATAAGGCATCTCTTTTCCCTTTCTTATGTACTGAGGAGGGCATGTGGCTGATGTCTTGTATGTGGAGAGAGCAGCCAGCATGCTCCAAGACTTTCCTGCCTCTTTCTTACCTTTCTCCACTGTGGCTAAATGAACTCCCTGTCTCCTCTCTCCTATGATTTCCATTTGTCCCTGGTGTTCCTTTTCTACTGTGTGCCTACTCCTAGCCTCCAATCAATGCTTTCTTGAGCATCCTCCCCTTGTTCTACTCCTTGGTCAACTGGACTAGTCCTGGGTCAATGTGGTACCAACAAGAGCAAGGCTTCTTGGGGTCTGCAGGCTGCACCTGGTAGCAGGGTCTCTCTAGAACTGAAGGGAAATTTTTAAAATGTACTCAACAAATACGGTCATGTACTCAAAACATGCAGAGCAAAGAGAGTCTGGTTATTCAACTTTTGTTGCAAATTTTGGTTGCAAAGCTGTTTTATATGCAATCATGGAGTATCAGAATAGGACAAAAAAATTTTTAGCTTGGTGTCTCTTCAGGGCTTTGCTGAAGAACAGATACCTAGTTTGTTTGGTCCCCTTGGCTGTCTGGTTTTCTTCAAAAGGGTCTCGGAGCAAATTCCTGTCCTGCCCAGACCCTCTCCCTTTCCATAAATGATGTTCTCTCTGCTCCACACTTGGCACCAGGAGTCCTTCCCAAGTCCTAGCCTCAACTCAGACTGAGGAAGACCTCTGCTTTCCCAAATGTGAGGTAAGAGATGGATGGGGATTCTCTAAGGAACAGAGATGAGGTCATAGAAGCTGAGTTTATCCCTCTTCTGTCATGCTACTTTCTAAATAATGTTCACACCTGCTCAATCTGCAGTTTCTCCATGGTAGTGTGGTCATGTGCTCTGAGGATAAAGGGATAAAAATGAAACAGACTTTGTCCACAGGATAAACCCTGTTGATCAGTCAGAAATGCTCAGTTCTGTAGAATCAGACCTCATCTCTGTTTCAATTGACTTGTCTCCATAAAACTGACCCTGTATGCTGCAGATAGCTAACATCCAGTCCCCCAGAGCAGAATACTGAAGCGCATTTTCCAAAACAGGCAAAGGCCTCTACTAGGGAACAGATAGATAAATGAATCATTGACCAGATGACCAAAAAGAGTTGCAGGTGCGACTCACACAGGAAACGTGGTCTCGGGGAATTGCTGGCTCAGAATGGAGAGTTTGCCTCCATCTGCCAGTAATCTGTGGCTGACTGACAACATAATTTGACGTTCTGTATTTCTCAGACCATTTGCAATTGTAAATATTCTCTTTTGCTGTTTCCATAATTGTATTTGTTCTTGTCACAGAGGACAGGGATCATTTGGCATTCTTCTCGCAGATACTGCGGTAGCTGGTATCGCATAATGCGGCGTCAAATGTCTTTGTTAGGCCAATGGTCACACAGTTGAAATTCTGGTTCCAATTGGTAACACTAAATGAGAAAAGAAAGCGTGGTTAAAGCCCATCATTTCAGCCCCACCTCTTCCTGATTCTAGAATGAAAGTCTGCCAGGCATGCTTGGAGGGACAGCAGGCTGACTGGACCCGCACATGCCTCCTCTGGAGCAGCCTCCTTTCCAACTCAGAACCCCTCTCCTAAATCCAGTCCCCAAATCCAGTTCTAAATCTACCCTTTCCTGTCAACTCTCCTGTGAGCTTGTAGGATTCACAGTCTTGGACTAATTCACTCTTGCATTTGGTCAGATGCATATCATGAACTGTCCCTTCTCCCAGAAGTAATGTTTAGTGCTGTATGCATGTTCACTGCAGGAGGACCAAAAGAAGGGGGAAGGAGATTGCTCATTCTTTCTTGGAGCCCAGCCCACTTCGGGAACACCTGGCGGAGGTATCTGTTGGCTCTCCCACCTCTTGTTCTGATGTAGGATCAAACAGTAGCTCTACCACTTCCTAGCCTTATGATAGTCAACACATTTCTAAACTTTTCTTGTCCACAGGTCAACTGTGTGCTAAATGGGGAGTAATAAAAGCTTTTCCTATAGAATCACAGTGAATACTACAGGAATCACTGTTTTCCTATAGAAACACAGTGTACAAAGTGCTTAGCTTAGTGCCTGGCATTTACTAGACACTGAATAAATATAAATTTCCTTCCCTCTGTGAGGAAGCCCAGTTACAGGCTGAGGAACTGACTTGCTCTCTGAGTCAACATTTTTATATGAACACTAGAAATAGTATGTTCTCCACCAACACTTATCTCTGTGGAATGATTCATAGGAGATAGTTCTTGGGAGTTTAAAGTTCATAGCTTTAAGGCATAGACAAGTTTTTTGTTAAATAATGATAACCTTTCTTTAGATAAAGAAACCATATCTGGGAAACTTGTAGGCATCTCATAATAAAATGTGACCTGTGGGTTAAAAGAGGCTTATGAGATACATCAAACAGTGTACAAACTATGCATGTGGATTTGTTAGGATTTTGATTAGAACAAAATAATTTGTTACATGAATACTCTTCTCTCTCTTTATGGATGTTTGATGTTTTCCATAATAAAAAGTATATAAGAATGTGTCTCAGGGAATAGGTAGGCTGGAAGTAAGGTGAAGAGCAGAACAGAGTCAAGTCTTAGCCTTTGAGCTATTCCAGGAGGAACCCACGAATCCCATGTTTGGTGTCTTGAGGCAAACTAAGATCCCCAGAAAGAGATATCCACATACTTGCCATTGAACGCAGAGTTGTTGATCCAACGCCACTTCTTCTCTGCATCCTGATATATTAAGCCAATAAAATACTTTTCAGCACTTGTTATGCTTTGGAGAAATTTCTAGAAATTTAAAAAAACAAACCAGTTCAATAGCGAGATCTTTGCTGATGCCTCCCTTGAACCAATGGACCCATGATTATATCTGGTTCTGGGAACAAAAATGGCTGGTAGGGAACTCTGGGACTGGCTATGGCTGGCACATACCATCAGCCCTGGGGAGTGGTTGCCAAGCTTTGCAGGGCATCTGCATCACCCGAGTCTTGTTAAAACACAGACTGTGGCTCTGGTTCTGCAGGTCTGCTGTAGGGAATCAGGCATTTGCCTTCCGAACAAATGCCCAGGTGATGCTGAGGCTCTCTCTAGGGACCACTCTGTGAGAATGATGGGGAAGGGGTAGTGTACAACCCTAAACATATACCATGTCTCTTGGCATAGGGTTGTTTTCATTGCTTGAGGTTTTATATTCCAAGTAAGGTTGAATCAAGTGATAACAAAATGCATTTATATTCCTTGAATACTCAGCAAAGGAAAACAGGGAGATTTAAAAGTGTGTTGCTAAAGCAGGTAATTCAAGGAGAAATAATCAAGTGTTTAATGAATATTTACTAAGTTGACACTAGTCCAAGACATCTTTGCTTCTGTATTCAATGGATGAATCACAAATCACCCAAGCCAGAAGTCTTTCTTGTACTCATCACATACCTCCCATAATCAGTGGGTATCCAAGTATTATTCTCTCTACCCCCAAAGCTATTTCCTTACTTCCTCCTTTCTTAATGTTTTACTTTTCTGAAATATCTCATTTCATTACATTTTTTAATTAATTAATGAATTTACTCATTTGCTCAACATTTTGGGGGTGTCTATTATGTGCCAGGCATCATACTAGGCTGGGGATATGGAAACAAATATATTTCTCCTCAAATAAATTATGTTTTAAAGCAGGGGTTGGCAAACTCCATCCAGTGAGCCAGATCCATAATGCAGCCTGTTTTTGTAAATAAAATTTTATTGGAATGCTCCCAGACCCATTTGTTTACATATTGTCTATGGCTGCTTTCAAGTTATAACAGTAGAGTTGAGTAGCTGTGACAGAGACCTGTGACCTGAAAAACTTGAAACATGCGTATATTATCTGGCCCTTGGAGAAAATATTTACTGACCCATGGTCTAAAGCAAGGGTCTTTAGTCCTTAACTCTCATGCTGGAAGCCATGGATGGTTTCCAAGGGGATCCATGAAACCATTGGAATTTTATTCTAAATATCATGCTTATGTAATGTTTCTGGAAAGAGTTGCATAGATTTCATCACTGTTTTTAAAATTCATTGATCCACCATGTTGGAGAACCACAGGTTTAATAAGAGAAGACAGATGAGTTAACCAGCTCAGTGAGGTATCACGGGTGTAGTGCTAGGAAATACCTACTAGATCTGGCACAGGGAGAAAGGAAGAAGTGATCATTCTACGTGAATTTGAAGTTTTTCTAGAAAGACTACAGATGAGGTGATACTTGAGACGAATTTGGGGAGACAGCTAACAGTTTGTCAGACCAATGGTAGGGGAGGATGTGGACTTCCTGGAAGGGAGAGCATCGGATTGCAGGCAGAGTGGGAAGCAGCCTGTAGCACCTGAGGAACCACACGATGCTCGGCATGGCTGGTGCAGAGGTGGGAAGGGGATGGGTTGAGAGACGAAGCTGGAGGGAAGGAAAGAACCGGGCTCTATGAGTCCTGATATGTAATGCTAGGAAAACTGAACTTTAACCCGTTTTAATTTAGAAAATGGCACAATTTAGAGCCCTAGAGACATTATGATGTCAGTTCTGAGAAGGATAGGTAAGAAGAGAGCAACACTGGAGGCAAGGAGATAAATTAAAAGAATTCTGAAGAAATCCAGGTGAGAACTGAACAATAGATTGTGGAGATAGAGAGGAAATTACTTGGTTAGCAACTAATTTGGGAGGAAGAGAGAAGGTAAAGTCCCGGAAAACTCCCAGCATTCGATCTTGGGTGATATGACTACTCACTAGTATTTGGGACATAAGAGGAGGGGCAGTTGGGGTCCAGTATAATTGGCTCAGCTTTGAACATGGCAAGTTTGTGGGACTTTTGAATCATCAAAGTAAAATTTGGTATACTTTCTGGTGTGGAGAAGGCTGAGCTGGAGTATGGACTTGAGAGTTGTGAGCAAACTATTGGTGTGGTGAGGTTTTTCTGGGATTGGCATGGAGTATAAGTGGTGGAGAATGCCATGGATGGAACTTGGGATGCACCAAAACTTAAGGGCTGAGTAGAGGAAAAAGGTCGTCAACTTCTTACCCTGCCCTGCATCTTCCCTTCTTCTTCCCTCCTTTCCTCCTTTCTCCCACTATCTTGTTCCCAGTTTTCTACTTTAAGGCATTTTCCCTTCCCACCTGGGAACTTGGCCCTAATCTGCAGCATTCTGATCCTTGCCCTTTGTTGGTCATCTGTTGCCCAGATTCAGAGAAAAAGACCCTCTTACAAATTCTTCTCAATCATAGGAGGACTTTTTGGAGGCGTGGTGGAAGGAATTGAGGGGAGAGAAACAAGAATAGTGTGTGTAGCACAGTGCCTGGCACTCAGCAAATGCTTAGGATTTAAACGGGAGGCATCTGTAGATTAAAATACATTAAGGTTTCAAATTGATTAGTGTATGGGCTTTGAAGTCAGAGAGACCTGAATTCAATTCCACTTACTGTCATTTAGGTGTATGACTTTGATCAAATTACTTTTCTGTGCCCTTGTTTCCTCATTTATAAATGATAGATAATAACTCATCCTTGAGTTGTTATGAGGGTAATGAGATAATACAATAAAGTTCTTTGCATAGTGTTATCTGTTTTTATCATCATGATCATAAACTGAAAACTCAGCTCTATGACCTTTGTTTTTCATATTACTTATTTTGTTAATTCGCATCGTCTCTATTTACTATTCAGACTGGTATGATACATTGACATCTCATCCCTATGAAGTACACTGTAGTTTTTAAATAACTTTTATACACATGAGCTCATTTGGTCATTCCTTGCACTTTAAATGTCTTGGCCCATCCCCAGGGTACCAGCTTGCTGTTGTGCCTTATGGTAAAGGCCACATAGTATGGATTTCTGTAGCTCAGATGAATCTGAAGAACACGCTCCACTGCTCCTGAGAAGACTTTCCCAGCAGGGAGGTTAACCTCTCAGCCAGCCACCTCTCCCTTCCTTACCCACCCCAACCCATGCTCCACCAAATTGGCCCAGCATCCCCGTCACTGAGGCTGGGTGGGGTGGGCTGCTTGACTGCACCATTCCAGTGCTCTTACCAGTTTCTCTAGCGTGTCGACAATTGCCAAGGTGGCACCTTCTCTTTCACAAAAGTCCTTGCTTTTGTTCCAAGACAATTCAGAAGTGGATAAGAAAAAACATCTTCCTTGATAAAAGTCCCACTCTTTTGGGCAGACTGAAGAGATCCAAGAAAAGAGAGTATGAGATTAGTGGTTTGGGATGTGAACCCTGGACATGAGTCACAAAATAGTGGAACATGGGTTTCTTTATAACGATTATATTGTCACAAATCATCCTCAATCTGGGAAGAAATTCCACCCAGTCTAGTGTGTTTCCCTGTAGATAATATGAAGGGAATAAACTGGAAGGTCTTTATGGCCCCTCTGAGCAAAACTATTCATAAGAAAGGAGGCAATAGGAAGGAAAAGTCTCTAGAAATTCAGCACCTGAGAACCCAGGGGATGGAGAGGAGGTTATTACCATACCTGTTCCATAGCTGCTTGTGGGAATGGAGCTGTCAGGACTTGGGGAAAGGCTCCCAAAAATCTGTGAGACTGAAATGAAAAGGAAACCCAAAGGTTACCGTACAAAGAGTATAACAAAAAAACATCAGAGTTTGGGCTGTGACTAGTTGTGTTTGAATTGTGGAGATGACAGGGGACTCTTGTTCACTCTGAGCTAGAAAATTTTGGATATTTTCTTTCTTTGAACCATCCACCAAACTACTACTATTATTTGTCACGCTCAATACCTAAAGGCCTATTTCATGTCTTCGTTTTTTTGGTGTAGCAATAGGTGTGAAATGCTGAGAAAAAAGAACAAGAGAAAGGAAAGTAGTGGAGGAATTTAGTATCAGAGGGGAAGTCTCTCACTCCTTTCTTACATACACCTTTGACAGTATTATCCCAGAAGAGCTGTTGGGAGCATTTCCACCCCAGGCTCCACACATCATCTTTGCTTTTCCCCTTATATTTGCCCCAAAGCCTATATGAAAACCCATAATCCTGAGAAGCTCTTTGACTCTTCTCTTATCAGCACTGTATCAGCTCTGAGGGTTTAGGTTAATTGGAACAAGTTTTGAGACCAAGGGGGCATTGGCAGATGAGGGAGCAGGTGAATGTTCCAAAGATTTCCTATAAGCAGAGATGGATTCATTAATTTCTTTAATTACAAATAGGGAATTCATTTTTCTAGGAACACTGGCTGTCTAAGCAGACAGCTGCGATGGCTTCAGAGGCTGGTCAAACCTCTTTTCTGCGGTCCCACTTATCTGTCCCTTATGGTTGAAGACCACTTTATTTTACCCTGACACCAAATCAGTTACTTCCAATTCTATTAATAAAATGGACAAGTTAGCTTTCACTTTTTATTTCAGTTGCCAGTTCATAGACTATTAATGGAAAATATTGAATTCTCTGACATAGTCAGTGGAGATGAGTATATGTTTTCTTGTGAATATGGTCACTTATTCATATCCATATTTCTTCTGTGCTTTCTTAAGTGATAGGAATTGTACTTTCAGATTGGGGCATTATTATTATTATTTTTTTTTACAGAATCTATGAACTGGGAACTGAAATAAAAAGTGAATGCTAATTCACTGGTTTTCATAAGAAGAAAATAGATAAGTTAGCACTGACTTCTTATTTCAGCTTACAGTTCACAGACTTCTTGAGTGATATTATATATATACATTTTGAGTAATATTTATATATATAATAGCCTTGTTTTCATCAGACACTATTAATAATTTTGGATTATAACTGAAAGATCTTGACAAATATTTTGAGTATATTCTCTGTACAGCTCACAGTGCCAGGTGCCTCAGTTGACACAAAGATAAATGAGAAATGGTCTTTCTCCTAAAGATTTCAACAGTACTGTGTTAAGAGGAAGTGAGAGGGAGGTCTCCAGAAAGGCTTCTAGAGGAAGAGCCGTGCCTTACTCATCTCTTCATCCTCCCCAGCTTCTGGCATGGACCTTGTGCTTATAGATGATGGTTTATCAATAGCTCCTGTTTTTGTTCTTCTTCTGTCGTTGGTTCAGCATAGTACTTGTCACACGAAATGGTGCTCAATATGATATTTTTTTTGGTGGTATATTATAGGTTTACTATAATAATTCCTTATATGTATATACCACTTCAGAGTCTATAAAGCACATTCACATTACATTACAGTGATTACAAGTAAGTTACTTTCACACCCAGGAGGTAAACTGAGAATCAGAAATTTCCCTCAGTCTGTTATTGGTTTCCCCATCTATAAAAAGAAGGGAATTAATTAGAAGATTTTTAGGGCCCCTTTGAGAAAAAAAATTTTGGGGGGAAGGAGGCCACGGAGAAGGTCTCTAAGAGCTCTGCACAGGAAAAGCTGGGCAGTGGCCAGGAGCTTACCACCATGCACATTACCTGTTTCGTAGCTCCCTGTGGGGATGAAGCCATCATTACTTTTGCCAAAAATCTGTGGGACTACAAAGAAAATCAGCTGTTGGGTCAGCCCCAAATGTGGCTGTACGATGACTATAACAGATAAGCATCACTCCAAGGGCTGCGAGGGCACTGTGACTATTAATGGGAAACACTGAACTCTCTGACCCAATTGGTGGATGTGTATGTGGGGTTTTTTGTGTGTGACTATGTTCACTTACTCATATTCATATTTACTTCTTGCTCTCTCAAGTGATAGAAATTGTGCCTTCAGATTGGGCCATGAGGAAGACACCTCTTACCCAACTGCCTCCTACTCACATTTCCTTCCGCATTTATTTTCCCCACTGGCTTCTGGGGCTGGAGAAGAGTCTACTTGATGAATTGCAGTAAAATCCTTTGATATGAGGCTTCTTTTACTAAGCATTTGGATAAATTGATTTATATGTACATAAAGAGAAATTTCTCCCTCCATTAAATCTTGTTACCTTATGAACTGGAGCTGTATTTTCAAATTTTAGCAATAATAATAATCACTGCCAAGTGCTTTAGCTCAGATTACCCAACAAATAGTTTAGTAACAAAAGCTTTGTGTGGGGTCTAACCATCAGACACTGGTAAGTTCTGTGTCTTAGAGGTGGACAAAGGAACCTGGCCCATTGCATGTGTTGGGGAGTGAGAAGGGCAATGTCAGTTGCCCTTGGGCTGGGTCCGTTGCCCTCAGGTGGACAGATTTGGGCACTTAACCTTTACACTCAACCTTGCATTTTGAGAGAAGAGTCAAAGAACAAGATGACATGGAGGTTGGGTGAGAGGTTGCCCAAATACTCACAATACAGCAGAAATAAGGTCATTCCGACAACTTTAAGCACCACTACGATAAACCCAGAGATTATCATGTGCCAGTTCATGATGAAGGAAATTCAGGGGCCTGTGGGGATTAGAGCACAACAGCCTCAGAATCTGGGACAAGGATGCTTTCCACCAGGACACATCCCAGACTCTACCTCAGAGCATCCATGGGATGCTTAGAAGACAGGCATGCCATTGACAGGAACAAGGAGGAGATAGCATGGGCTCAGAATGTGGATAGGACCCTGTGCTGACTGGAGCCTCTGAACTTGGCATGCGTCCTCTCCTGCACCTGTCCCTTACTCTAGACCTTAGCTCTAGCCCCATTTGTGGCATCCTAAACTCTGCCTAATAAGTAAATCCTTTCCCATATTTTGAGAACCCTTAGCCTTGAAATGACTCTTGATCCCAAGGACCTTAGTCTTTAGTCTGGGCCAAACTGACTTCAGTTGTCAGAAGCCTCAGTCCTCAAAATGTCAAGGGTTGGGGACAGGCTGGACAGGTGTCCCTGAAGGTCTTGGCATTGGGGAAGAGCCAACAACAATCTACACAGAGAGGACAGACACAGACTTACCTGCTCTCTCCCTAGAAGGCTGGGCTGGTGCAGGTAAGGGTCTTTCCAGGGGCCTGAGATTGGTGTGGTGGGCAGGGGCCCTGTCTCCCGAGAATGCACACCTTCTGTTCAGGCAATGTTCTTCCTTCCTCACAGTCTCTGTCTTGGCAGCATCCCCGAGCAAGCAACTTCTTCCTGTTCTTGGCAAAGGAGCAGGCGGGGCAAAGAGGGGAAGGGAGTCTGTAATTTCTACAGCAAGAGGAAAGTGCCTGCCAGGGGAGTTTTTAGGAGAATTTAGAAAACAAAATACTTTGATAAAGATTCATTCTACCTCTGTGTCTGAATCCCCTTGAAGTACAGTGGAAAGAAAATGTAGTAAAGTATTAACAAGTAGCGAATCTTGGTAAAGAGTATCTGGAAGTTATTTGTACTTTCCCTATGACATTTCTACAAGTCTGAAATTAAGTCAAAACAAAAATGTTCAACATAGTGCTTGAAGTTATAGCAATAGCAATCAGGCAAAAGAGGGATATTAAGGGCATTCAAGTGGGGGCAGATGAAATCAAACTCTTGCTCTTCGCTGATGACATGATATTATACCTAGAAAACCCTGTGCACTCATCCAAGAGACTCCTAGATTTGATAAATGAATTTGGTAAAGTTTCAGGGTATAAAATCAATATACACAAATCAGAAGCATTCATATATGCCAATAACCATCAAGCAGAAACTCAAATCAAAAACGCAATACCCTTTACTATAGCCCCCCCCCAAATTAAATATCTAGGAGTATACTTAATGAAAGATACAAAAGATTTATACAAGGAGAACTACGAAATGTTAAAAAAAGAAATTGCAGATGATTTAAACAGATGGAAAAATCTACCTTGTTCATGGATTAGTAGAATCAATATTGTTAAAATGTCAATATTATCTAAAGTGATCTACAGAATCAATGTAATCCTCATCAAAATACCACCAGCATTTCTTAAAGATCTAGAAAAAATAATTCTTCACTTTGTATGTAACCAGAAAAAACCTCCTATAGCCAAAGCAATCTTAAGTAAAAAGAACAAACTGGGAGGCATCAGTCTTCCTGACTTCAAGCTGTACTATAAAGCAATAATAGTTAAATCAGCCTGGCACTGGCACAAGAACAGAAGCATAGATATCTGGACTAGATCTGAGATACCTGAGATGAAACCATCAGTATATGGTAACCTAATCTTTGATAAAGCAGACAAAAATATACAATGAGGAAAAGAATCTCTTTCAATAAATGGTGCTGGGAAAACTGGCTAGCTACATGCAGGAGAGCAAATCAGGATCCCTACTTCTCACCTCTCACAAAAATTCACTCAAGATGGATAACAGACTTAAACCTAACACATGAAACCTTAAGAATCCTAGAAGAAGATGTTGGGAAAACCCTATCAGACATTGGCCTAGGCAAAGAATTTTTGAGGAAGACACCCAAGGCAATCACCACAGCATCGAAAATAAACAAATGGGATCTGATCAAATTAAAAAGTTTCTGCACAGCCAAGGAAACTATCAGTAGAGCAAATAGACAACCCACAGAGTGGGAGAAAATATTTGCTCTCTACACCTCTGATAAAGGTCTAATAATAAGACTCTATCTAGAACTTAAAAGAATTAACAAGAAAAAAATCAAACAACCCCATCAAGAAATGGGCAATGGAAATGAACAGAAATTTCTCCAAAGAAGACAGAATAATGGCCTGCAAACATATAAAAAAATGCTCAACATCTCTAATCATTAGAGAAATGCAAATCAAAACCACAATGAGATACACCTAACCCCAGTGAGAATGGCCTATATTAAGAAATCCCATTTGAAATATAGTCCAACATCTGTTTTCAATATCTAGAAAAATATTACAATAAACATATGTTCTTCAGCTAGCACAAAAAGGAAAAGTGCTAAGCCAGCAGTCCTCAACCTTTTTGACACCAGGGATAGGTTTAATGGAAGACAATTTTTCCAGAGACTGGAGGCAGGGGAGATGGTTTCAGAAAGATTCAAGTACATTACATTTATTGTGCAAACCTCTCTGCTAATGATAATCTATATTTGTGGCCACTCCCCAGTGCTATCATCACTACCTCAGCTCCACCTCAGATCATCAGACATTAGATTCTCATAAAGAACGTGCAACCTAGGTCTCTCCCTCGCATGTGCAGTTTACAGTAGGGTTCATGCTCCCATGAGAATCTAATGCCACCGCTGATCTGGCAGGAGGTGGAGATCAGGTAGCAAAGCGAGCAGTGGGGAGCAGTTGTAAATGCAGATGAAGCTTCACTGGTTTGCCTGCCTACACAGCAGGAGGTGAGTGGTAGGCAAGCCAGTGAAGCCTCATCTGTATGCTGGAGGTTGAGGACCACAGTACTAAACAACTAGATTCAAACGTCCTGTGGTACACTTTGCACAGAAGAAAAAAGTCTCAAAATTATCACTGATAAATTGTGATAGAATCTTCTCTCAATCACCCTGTTTAAATATACAGAGCAGGTTTTAAGACATACAACAGTCAGCTCCCTCTGAAGAGAATGTGTGGTATTATCTCATTTCCCTGACAATGTTTAAATAAGTGTTCAGAGGAAAAAGTCAAATGCTGTTTTCCTCTGCTGTTATTCCAACACAGTAACAATCAACATGGAAGACTTCTGTAACCCCAAAATATGGGGGGAGGTTCTCCCCACCAGCAAGCAAGCAATCAGTTCTGTAGCAGCCACTAGCTGAGTGTTTTCCAATTCAGTTCTGACACTATCTACCCAGAGACAGCATCAGATCCTACAGGATGTGGACTCAGTCACATAAGATTGCCCCTCTTTAACATCAGTCAAAATCCAGGCTGTGGGAACTTTTGACCAACTGGTTTAAAGTTGGGGTTCCCACAACCCCCTCTTTGAAAAGTTTGATTAATTTGCTAGAGCAGCTCACAGAACTCAGGGAAGCATTTTCTTACATTCACTGATTTGTTTGCAAAGGGTATACAAAAGATATAGGAAAAAAGATGTACAGGGCAAGGTATGAGGAAGGGGCACAGAGTTTTCTTGCCCTCCCTGGGTATGCCATCCTCCAGGAACCTCCACATGACATGTACAACTATCTAGAAGCTCTCTCCAACCCCAAATCCAAACACTGCGCTTTTTTTTTTTTTTTTAAGAGATGGGGTCTCCTCGTGTTTCCCAGGCTGGTCTATAGGAGCCTTTTTTAATCGAAGCTTCATTATGCCAGGATTCCTTTTTCCAGGGTATGGAGTGGGACTCTGTCTAGAATGAGGGTCTTATGACCCACAATTAGAAAGTCTAGAAAAGATTAGAGTCCTACGTTGGGGTAGGTGAAAGGAAGGCAGGACAAAGTCAGAGAGATTCTGCTTCCTGTGGCCTGTTCTTGAGGCCTAAAGCACCAAACATTATAATAAAAGACTGTAAAGTGTGCTATGGGAGTTATAAGCTAGGAAATATCAATGAAAACCATGAAAAACATATATAATGTATATTGTGTATGCATAATGTATATTGTGTATATATGTATAATGTATATTGTGTATGTATATTGTGTATGTATGTATATCATTACAATAAGAAAATATTAGGAAGAAAAGCTAGGAAATTTAGATACAGATGTAGTCTTTTTTCACCAAGTGATACGTTGGTTGCTTGGGTTTCCTTTAGCATAAATGTAAAACAAATGCAGGTAAATTTTTTCTATTCCTAGATCACAATTTCTCATGCAGTGAATATTATCAGTTGAAGAAATGTTTAATACTATTATTATTAAAGTAAGTTAAGTGTTACCTAGTGTCACCTCAACTTGTTAGGCTCCTTGAGAAATCATTGATACTACCCTGATTTAATGTGACAGAATGAAAGTCATGAAATTTGTCCATGGCATCTGCAAGAATTGCCGCATATACAAGTTACCATGGAAAGGTTTGGTAGACCCTCATGTTGAGACCAGAAATGTAAGTACCTTTTTTCCCATGAGAAAGATCTCGCCCCTCCTCTGGAATTATCCATGTATTTGTATAAAAAGAGTCTAAATTCTATATAATAAACCTTATGTCCCATTCCAAAAAAAAAAAAAAATAGAAATCCCAAAACAACAAATGCTGGTGAGGATGTGGAGAGACAGGAACACTCTTACACTGCTGGTGGGACTGCAAGTAGTTCAACCTTTGTGGAAAAGAATTTGGAGATACCTCAAACAGCTAGAAATAGAAAAACCATTCGACCCAGCAATAGCATTGTTGGGCATCTACCCAAAAGAGCATAAGTCATTCTATTATAAAGACATCTGCACCCAAATGCAGCACAATTCACTATTGCACAGTATGGAAACAACCCAAGTGCCTGTCAATTCATGAGTGGATAATTAAAATTTGGTATACGCTCACAATGGAATACTACTCAATACTAAGAAACATGAGTACGCTAGCACCGTTTATGCTATCCTGGATTAAGCTTAAGCCCATTATCCAAAGTGAGGCAACACAAGATATGGAAAATGGGCTCCACATCTACTCGCCATCAAATTGGTACTGACTGATTAAAACTATGGTGCTCAAATGGTGGTAATGTTCACCAACGATTTGGGGGGCAGGGGGGAGACACACATCTTAGGGATGTGGCGAGCATTGTGGAGGGGAAGGGCATACATCTAACCCTTCTTAGGGAGAGGCAAAGATATACAATGTAACCAAAATGTCAAAAAAAAACCCCTTTTATTGGGTGGAGGGCAGGTGGGAGGGAGGAGGAGGAGAAGGGTATATACTTACATAACGGGTGCGGTGCACACCACCTGGGGGTTGGACATGCTTGAAACTGGCACATGGGGGGGGTAGTGGCAGGGGCAATATATGTAAGCCTAACAATATTTGTACCCCCATAATATGATGAAATAAAAGGAAAAAGAAACCAAAAATGTTAAGAAAAGAAATCCAACCAAAGTCACTGATATTAGTGAGCAGGTCCTTGATGTTCCATTTGCTCCATTCATTGTCAGCTCTGCTTGGTCCCCTTTACCATGGGTTCCTCTCTGGCCCCACCTGCTCACCCTCCAGACCAATATTTCTAGAGCATGGCACTCTGCTAGAGACGGCAGGTGGGGTGGGGTGGGGTGAATAATACTCAAGTCTTATTGTCAAGAAATTTTTACTGCATATTAA